ACTATATTCTTAGTAACTTTTACTAGACGATGAGTAAAAATTACTTGAATTTGTAGCATTTAAATTTACTTAACAAACATTGGTGCAAATTGTTAAGAGGATATTTTCAAGTAAATCATACAAGTTATTTTTTTCAGTGTATGCTGAAGTAAATTTTAAACAGAACAATGTTTATGAAGAAATTAAATAGACCGTACTTACTGTATATAGAACCTTTCTACCAATCCAACCAAGATACTGAATGTGCTTTACAACACTCTGTGTCCTCACAGATACAGATACACATTCACACAACACTCTACTATTTCTCTCTACAAAGCTAATCTGTATAGATCATCATATGGAGAATAATAAGTGCTTCAAATCACATTCATACACTGATGGGACACACATCAGAGGAAATGGGGGATCAGTGTCTTACCCAGGGGCACGTCTACATGTGACTGAATAGTGGGGAATGGAACCGCCAACTCCCTCATTGATAAAGATTGCCCTAACCACTCAGCCACAGCCACTTTTTAAATGAACAGTATAAAAATAAAAAAGACAAAAATGAAGCAAGTATGCTGAAATGTTTTGAATAGAACAATGTTTTTGAAGAAATTAAAGAGATCACAGTGATTTCATGGTAAATTGTTAGTATTTTTAAATTTATATAAGTTACAAAAACACCAGTCATAACACAATGATCCGGATCAAAGCTTTTGTGTGGTTAAAGCCACACAAAATGTGCAAAAGTTGAATTGCAACAGTTGCTTAATCAAGGACACCAGGACCTCCCAATCAATGTACCCACTGTCTCTCCTCTGGACACGTCCAAACCTTTCCATCCGATTTAATTTGTATCCAGAAGTCCACATTTAGCTGAGCTCGAGACGCTAGACGCATGCGCTATATATGCATGCCTGCCTTCCATAACGTTGGAAAAAAGAGCGCACGAGACACTTAATTTGTCTTAAAATACAGACATTCTGACAAATAAGTAACTGTTTGTAACCTTACCTCAGCTTAGAAGGCAGRRGGTGTCGGTCTTTTCTGCTCAGATTCAGCTATCGGAGCATGAAGCTAATGTTTACTTACAATGCTAATGCTACCCCTACTCTGGCTCTCAAGAGGTAGAGGAGCCACATGTCTGGCTCACTGCTGCCAACTAGTGGTCAGAGGCTGAACTACAACATAAAAATGAACGGCTGGCAGAAGTTGACATTTTAAACCTTAATTAAAAATCGATACAAGGCTTTAGAATATCAATACAGTATCAGGAAATGAAATATCGCGATATTTCAGTGTATCGATATTTTCTTACACTGCTACTATATAGTCGTAAACATTTCTTTCAAATTAGAATGAATGGGTCTGGAAGCTGAAGGGGTGGGGTGGGTGAAGCACTGCTTTTAGATTTAAAGAGACAGCCTCAAAACGAGCTGCTTTGAGACACATCTCTGGAAAGGGGTGAAAGAGGGCCTTGTAACTTTAACACAAGGAGGAATTCTGCCCAAAGCATTGCAGTTCCACTTCTAGACCCCAACTGAATGA